CTTTTTTTTAGGAAACGGGGGGGGGGCGCGCCCAATTTCATCCTGTGTTGCCTGAGGGTTGACGGGAGGGGCCACAGCTGTATTTCTGGGGAGGGGCAGGGTTAGGGATGCTGGGATGAGCTGAGAAGCATCTCCCTTGAACGAACCCTGTGTCTTTCTCCAGTATCCCATGCTGACCCAGGCATCTCACCCTGGGAATTTCTTAGGGCGGTGTATACTCTAAAAAAGGAGCAGGTAACGATAGTTTTTGTTGAGCTGCCAAACTCGTGCAGTGCTGGGAGAGGAATGCGTTTGTGAACAGACTGCTGAGATGGGAGTATAAACTCTTGTTCTTTTGGCAAAAGTAAGTCTTACGACTCTGCTTCCTCACAGCAAAGTGCCTGGCTTTGTGCGGATGTTTGCTCCAGAAGGCTCCCTTGTATTTCATGAAAAGGCCTGGAACGCATACCCTTACTGTAGGACAGGTGAGCGTGCTCTTCTTTCTTTTTCAGAAGGCTGGTCTCAGGAGGGTTAAGTTAAATGCTCAGGTACAGCCAGACAGGATTCTTTTATCTACAACTGCCTGCAACTGCAAATTCAGTTGCTGCTCGCTGGAACCAAATGCTGATTAAATTTAGCATTGAGGCTTAGCATTGACGCATTTGAGTTGAATTGATTTCTCAGCAGGCAACTGATTGCAACAGGCCTGGTGCAAGAAAGGGATGATTTATGGACTGCCATTCATGGGGTCCAGTCACCCTGCTGATAGCTGTTGGTGATGGGCATTGTAGTCTGAAACCTAGTGGGTAGGAGGGACTGGCACGTGTTTGTTGTGCTGAGATTAGTTGATGAACGTCTTCGTTATAGTGGTTTTGCTAGCTAATTCTTTGCTCACTTTCAACGAGCTCTCTAGCCATGCTGTTCCACCTGGCGTTTAGTCTGGATAATACAGAGTGTAGTGATGAAGCTACATAGCCATCCTGATACAGTGCAGTCACTTCTGTTTGTCTCCCATCTCTTTCTCTTTCCATATCTTCCTGGGGATCAGTCGTTACGGTGAGTATATTCCCTTCCGTGGCTTGTCAAGGTGGCTTAGCAACAATTCACAGGTACTTGGGTTCCTAATGTTAGGTATCCTCTGTCAGGGTGAAAGAGTCTGCAGGCTGGTTGATAGCTGGCCTTGGGCTGGCACATAAAGGGAATAAGACCATCACCCCTCAGAGCGCACCTTGAGCTTTCCAGCACTGTACCTTCAGGGGAAGGACATTGAACAAAACCTTCATTCTCATCTTCTGCAAACCACGTCCACTGCTTGCATGCTAAACCTAGATGCTTGCAATGTGAGCCACTTCCAGTGGAGAGAGTTGTGCCGGAATTTGCATGTTCTGATGCAGTGTTTCAGGGTGCATGTTCTGTGCACTCTGCAGGAGCCCTTTAGCAGACGTGTGGCCATCACAGTTAAGCATGTCCGTCGTGCCAGTCCTCCTCCTTGCATGACTCCCACTTAACTTAAGAAATGCTTTTGGGGGGGGCGGGGTCTCTGTGATAAACATTGCAGGTTTTTTACCCACCTCCTCCATTCTGGGTCTGTCTTTGTCTTGAGATGCAGGTGTTATGCCAGCAGGTCTGTTTTGTTTTGTTTTAATAGAATGAATATATGAAAGATGACTTCTTCATCAAAATTGAGACTTGGCACAAGCCTGACTTGGGGACATCAGACAATGTAAGTTGGGGCCTTTGTTGCTGCCCATCTCTTTCTTTCTGGGTCTGGGAAATTGGTGGGCTCCCTGTTCAGCTTGCATTTGTTTTGCTGCTGCAAACACTCGGGGAGGATCTGCAACACTCTGAACAGGAATCAGACTGATGTCACTTCAGTGCTGGGACTGTGTTTTGCCTCTGCCTCCAGACCATGTTGGGGGTTTTAAAACATTGGTGTACTTTCTGGTTAGAGCGATTCAGGGTGGTGTAGGAAAATTAGAGACAAGAAGAGCAATCAATATGTATTAAAAAACTAGCAGATAAAAGCACAATTAAATATCCAAATTCAAAATACCTAAGCTGGATTTTAGAAGGTGGGTATTTTTATTTTTAAGTTTTGTGTTAATTTAATTCTTGTGGCTCACTTTAAGAATGGGGCGTATATATTCCTCTTTGAAACATCCCCCTTGGCTTTCTTGTGGATTGACAGTGCCTGGATTCAGCTGCATCCCCGTTTCATAGGCTGCCTTGCTGAGGATCGATGGAAAGTCCTTTCCACTCCTGCCTTGGAAGCAGACATTGGGCTCTGTGCAAAGGGGAGATGGGAGTTGGCCATGATCACAGTGAGGCACAGTGATGCCTTTTCTTCTTCTTGCAGGTCCACGGCTTGGACCCCAATACGTGGAAAAATGTTGAAGTTGTTCATATTGATATAGCGGACAGAAACCAAGTGGAGCCTGGAGTAAGTTGAATTCACATCTTTCCTGCTGCTTGATGCCACGGGTGGGCGTGTTCATGTTCCTGAGCATGAAAGCTGCTTTAAAGGAGGGAAATTAAGAGCTTTTTTCAATAGCAGCTTGCAAAGAGACAGTGAAGCAGCTTAGCCATCAGTATCAGTGGCCTGCTCCTCTTCTTCCTGCCTGCCAGACTGAGGCTGTAATGGGGATTTGGGCTTCTGACTAAAAGGGATGCCGACAGTAGCTGGAGGCGAATGTGGTGTTCCAGAATCTTGGAGATGGTGCACGAGGCTTAGCAATTGGGCTCTTCCTCACTTGGTGCATCAGCTCCCCTTGATTGATGGATTGATTGATTGATAGATATCAAAACGTTATAAAGATTTTTTTAAAAAAAGATAAAAACTAATGCAAACTGAGAAGAAGAAAAGAAAAAAGAAATCAAAGAGAAAGCCAAAAGTGCAAGAAAGGAAAAAAAAGTAATAGAAAAATAGAAAACAAAGAAAAGATACAAAAAAGTAGCTTCCAAAATTCTTTACAGCAGTTATAAATACAATTATAAATTTACCTCTTACTCTGTGGTTAGAGCATAACTCTGTTCTTTCTATAATATAACTTGTCTTAATTATCAGAGCCATAAATCATAAATTCATTTTTTTCTGTTTCGCACAAAAAGTTTATAAGGGGTTTCCAGTCAGCAATAAACATAGGAATTGTCTTTTCTCTGATCAAAGAAGTAAATTTAGCCATCTCAGCAAATTCTGTCATCTTCACCAACCATTTCTCCATTATAAGTAGTGCCAAATCTGTCCATCTTTATGCATACAAAAATCTCGCTGCAATTATCACATATAAAAACAAAGTTCCATTACTTTTTTCCAACCCCCCCCAAAAAAACTCTGGTTTCAATTGTATGTTAATCTTTAAAATCCTCTGAATCAATGTATGCATTTGAACCCAGAATTTTCTAGCTTTTTTACACATCCATCAAACATGATAAAATGTCCCTTCTTGTTCACATTTCCAACATAAATTTGAAGTGCCTTTATACATTCTGGTTTCTCTAATATCTTCAGCAGAATCCTCTGGGATTGCTCTAGGTCTCAAACAAAATTCCTTCTCTCTCAATACCAATAGAGCCAGATTATCTAGTTCTCTTTCCAACTCTCTGCCTATAAGTTCTCTCTTACTCTCTAAAATTTCCACTTTGTCATTAATTTATCTCTTCAGCTACTTGTTTTACAGAGCTTTCCATCCTCTTAACTACTTTTTTCATCTCTTTCATCTTTACAAGTCTTTCATCCATTCTTTTTTCAAAAGATGTCAATGCAGTATCAGGTGATTCTAACTTATTGCCCATTTGCTCAAATCTGGTGTAATTCCTCTGTTGCTCTAGAGGTTGCTCTACTTTTCTGGTGGTTGCCATCATGATATTATAATCCAAAAATGAAACTCTGTCAAACAAGGGAAAAAGAAAAGGGAAGCTTCCCCCTTTTTTTCCTCTTTTGTCTTCCTGTGCCTTTAATACTTCCATCTCAAATGGCACTTTGTAGTTACAGTTAGCATCACAGTCTGACTCATATTGCCTTTATCTTTTGCTTTGTAAACTCCACCAATTGTCTACTCTCTTTAGTAATAAAAAATCTTTCAAAATAACTGTTCCCTTTACCGTTTTAAATTTTCTTACATTGACTCCTTGTTAAGCTTTTGGCTGAAAGTTTTTAAGTCTTTAAAATCATTTTTTCCTTTATTCCTCTGTAACCCAGAAAAAATAATTCACCAGGTGGAATCTTACCCTGCCACTCAGAAAATGTCTCTTTAGCTGTAAATTAATTACATCCGAAAGTGTTTAAGAAAGTCCGGCTTGTGCGAACCTTGTGTTCATATAGGCTACGTTACGGCTGTGAGCTTGGTTGAAATCCCTTGACTCCCAGCCGTTCAACTCACGAGCTGGCAGCAAAAACTTCATTTCCTGCAATCTACTCAGGAGGAGCAGCTATCCGGAGTACAAGTGGTCGATCTCACGATCCCTCCTGTTTCCAGAGAGACTTCACTGGCCAGAATTCACTGTGTGGCCGCTGATCTCCACCACAATGCCATCCCTGCTCCTTCGGGGATGTCAACTTCAACATGAATCCTCACTGGAAGCTGAACTCCCCGAGATTCTTGAGGAAAGTTCTGCATGGCACTTGTGTGGGCCCGTCTTTTCCTGCTCAGCAGGTGTTAAATGCCTACAATTGTCACCTTGGGGCAAGATGGCAACACAATCACAGCTCATGAGCTGAGCTCCATTTCCAGAAATTGCTGCTGCTTTCCCCTCTAGCTGGACTCTAACCACGTTTCTCCCCTTTGAACACTAGAGAGCTCTTTTTCACTCTGCCGAGAGCTTTCCAAGGTTAATTTTACTGTCTACTGCTGTCTTATCCTTCCGTGATAATGCAGTCCTGAGCTGAAAAGAAAGGAGGGTTTCACTGTAGGGAGGCAGGGCACAGGCAGAGCGGCGGCCCCCCTTCCTGGCCTCCTTTTCCTGTCTTAATCAGCCCTGAGGTCGCTTGTCTCTCCCTTCTGCAGCTTTTGTCTCTGCCGTTCGAGTTCTGGTGCTAGTTTGAAAAGGCACTTCCTGCCACTATCACCCCTCCAGGGCTTTAATAGGAGAGGACAAGATTCAGCCTGCTCTCAGATGTCTGTGCCTTGGCGACAGAAGCTTGGCTGAGAGGCAGGCAGATAACCTTGCGAGCGCAGCGAAGGACTCGGCTCCGCAGCTGCAGGCGCTCATGCAGTGCCAAGCGTTCAGCCTTCGGTTTGCGGGAACACTGGCCAAACAGCCCAGCCGCTCTTTTCGTTTCTAAACACTGATCAATAAACAGCCTGGCTCCAAACCGTGCCTGCTCTTGGAAGTCCTAATGAAACTCAGATGCCAGCCCTATGTTTTTCCAAATGTATACAAAAGCTTCAGCTGACAGCTGTTGCTATCTTAAGGTAGAAATTTAAGCCTGACCTCTCCTAATCAGCTCCAGAGTTTTTGTCTAAGCAGTTTTGCGTGATTTGTATACAAAAGTCACTTCCCAGGAGGGGAAGAATTGCTAAACTGTGAGCAGAACGAGACACACAATTAACTTCAGAAAGAGATGCACTTTGGGAAGTAATTTGAAAGAAAATAAGCAGAGTGAAAGCAAAGAAATTGGAATCAGCTTTGTAGTATTTTCTCTGCTTCACATTGAAGGCAGTGTGGATTGCCTCTGGCTTTCTCTCATAACCATAAATCCTGGGTGGGTCACAGCCCAGAAGTCATGTGGTCTCTCAGCAGCATTTCAGTAACTTGCATCTTCTTTCTGTCAGCTGCTTTAGACTAAATTGCAAATAAAGAACAGTTCTAAGCCCTTCCAGGGAATAAACCTTTTTGACCCAGTGGGACTTACTTTTGAGTTAAACGTGCATGAAATTGCACTGGAAGAGGGCTGCAGAAAGGGGGTGGGGGCATGCAGTAAGAGGAGGACTCCTGTGAATATGGCCTGCAGAGCAGAAAGTCTCTTTCCCCCTCTCCTCAGTTTTTCTTGGTGATTAATACGCCCAGTGCACATAGCTGCTCTTTTCAGAGCTGTCCCAGTTCTCTCTTCCCAGCCTTACTTTGGAGTTTCTTCTTTGAATCTACAGGACTACAAAGCTGAGGAGGACCCAGCATTGTTCCAGTCGGTCAAGACCAAGAGAGGCCCTTTGGGGACTGACTGGAAGGTAATATGAGCCAAGAAAGGCAATTCCTAAGAGGCTTTGGGAGCACAAGGGCCGTGTCGATGAAGGTGGTTGTTCTTCAGTGCTGGGCTAGGGCTCCCTTGGCAAGGGCACTGGAAGCTGCTGCCTTCAGGGATCCATCTAGTCCTAAGTGGTTGACTCAGACTGGAAACGGATGTTCACGGCGCTCTTCCAGTCCTTCTGGAGAGCCAGCGTGGATGCTGGGACCTGGTGCTCTGCTTAGCTTCTGCCCCCGGCAGGGAGGTGAGATTTCAGCTCCTGGTTTTCTCCTGTCCTCCCTGCTGCACTTGGAGCAGTATGGTCAGTATGGTCTGGCCCTGGTACACGTGCAGTGTCCTTTGACCTTTGGTCTGGGTGCCTTGGAGCCCTTCATCTGGCGAAGCAATGGGGGTTGCACACAGCACACTGTGTGCAGAGATTGCTCAGAAGTTGGCCGGCGCTTTAGGGCTCCTCCACCCTTCCCCTGAAATGGTCCTGTCCTCCCCTTTTTTTTCTCGGCCGTCCACTGGCACAGTAAGACATGCTTGGGTCGCTCTGGAATGCCAGGCTGCCCTTGGCGATTTGGCAGAGACCATTGGGGGGTGGTCTCTTACCCGCTCCACTAATCTTTCTTCCCTGCTCCAGGGCTGCCAAGTTTAAGCCTGCTAGGGATCGGTATCCCCTTAGTTATTTTCTGGAGGGGGGCACTTTTGCCTTACTCCTCTCCCCCCAAAGTTGCATTGGACTTGCCCTGAGCTGGACCAGTCATTGCAAAAGAAAAAAAACACTTTTCTCCCCAAGTTATACAGCCACAGATTTAACCTAACCCTTCAACAAAATGATACAAATGGACGTTTGGCTTCCTGCTGAATGTTTAGCTGATTAATTCTGCTTTTGAAGCCAAGAGTGTCAAAGCAGCAGGGGTTCGCCCAGGAACTCCTCCAGCATTGTCGGAGGGCTCAAGGGCTTCTGCCTTGTGGTCGGTTGGTCTGTTAGCCGCTCACAGCTGGGGTATGCTGTGGCCAGCCTGAGCTCAGCCACTAGCCTCTCCCCCTTGCCGGGTAGCAGAATAGCCTGGAAGTGAAACGGAGCTGTGGGATAAGCTGTGCTTTGGTGGGGCAGAGGCACTTTGGGCTGCCGTGTCTCCAACAGGAGTGGTTCGGTTACGTGGGGTCTCGGATTCTAGAGAGGGCCTGTGGTCGTTACGATTTTGACTATTTCCTGTTCAAATCCATCCCAGTTAGCAGCTCTTTTCTGCTACCAGTTTCCTTAACTGAATTTACATTGGGGGAGGGGTGTGTGAAAAAACCCTTCTTCTCCAGTCCCCCATCGTTAGTTTAATCGGATGACTCTACTGGTTCTTGGTGCCATTTATTTACTGACGAATGTATCTGCCCCCTATTCCCAGGCAGCTCTTGACAATTGGCAAAAGGTGTTTTGAGAGGCAACTATTCATTTACTCCCTGAGTAGAATGAACTGAAGACAGTTTGGAAGGATTTTTCCTTCCCTTATTCCAATCACCTGATTTACACTCAGCTGAATTCTGACCCTTCCTATGCCTTTAGGCATGGGGAGGCTTCAGGGACAAAGAGGGGCCTCCCCCAACCCCCCCCCCCAAATCACAGCATCATCAGTTCAAGGAGGGTGGCATGACCCCACTGCCCATCACAGCCTCCCCTGGTCCTTTACCAGATTTCCCTAATGTCTCACCCCTTTCTCCTGGGCATTTTGACCCCATGGCTGGCACTAGGCTCCTTTCAACTGAAGAGTGAGGAAGGGAGTGCTTCTGGCTTCTTTTTCTTTCATGTCACCTTTGGGTGTAACTTTCAGGTCCCTTGAGAAGTTACTAACTGCAAGTCCCCCAAGATGCAGCCGAGAGTGTGGGGTGCTAAATGCTCACTTTTTTTAATTTCTGCAAACAGAAGGAGTTGGCAGCTGCTGAAGATTGTCCAAAAATGTGTGCTTACAAGCTGGTGACCATTAAGTTTAAGTGGTGGGGACTGCAGAATAAAATTGAGAACTTTATTCAGAAGGTAAGCAGCTGGGAAGGACTGTCCCTTCCTGGAACCAAGGGGCTTGTCCACCATGCTTTCAAGTGGGGGTGGGAGGCAGCTGTCTTGGGACAGGCCACCCCCTGGCTCAACATGGCTCCCTGCTTCCTTTCTTAGGGAAAGGGCCCTAAAGATGAAGGCAGCAGAGGGCTGAGGCTAAGTGCTTTCTTTTTTTTAAAGCAAGAAAAGAGGATATTCACCAACTTCCATCGGCAGCTTTTCTGCTGGATTGACCGCTGGATTGACCTTACGATGGAGGACATCCGGCGCATGGAGGATGAAACCCAGAGAGAGCTGGAGGCGGTAAGAGTATGCAAGCCTACGTTGCAGGGTGGGCCTTCCCCAGGTGTGACTAGAAGCTTGCTGGGAGTGGAGCAGAGGTGCCACTGGCACATCACCGTGCCTGGAGACTGGGGGGAAATAGTGAAACCATCCTTCCGTAAACCCCTTGAGAATTACAGAGAATAGACACTTTCCCCGGGTTCACTGAACTGTCCTCCCCACCCCCTCCCTTTTTTGGGGGGCATCCTTAGAGCAAGAGGTCTCCATGTCTTCCAAGAAACTGGATGTGTTTCTTAGCTCTTGCTTCTCCTAAGAAGCGACTGATACATTCCTCAAGTATTCTTCTTAAAAAAGACCATAGGTTGACCAAAATGTCTGCCAGAATCGTTTTTGAGATAAATTTGCTTTGTATATATATTCATAGTAATCCATGAAAAGGTGTGCTGTTTTTTCTCTAGGATGTGGTGCTATTTTCTGGTGGAGTGTGTGTGCTTTTTTTTTTTTTTATGTTTCTGAATACTAACCCCATAAGAAGCCTTTCTTGAAGGGAGAATTGAAAAAAGCAAATCTCCCAAGGAGAGCAAAAGAGGCCCCCTCCCCTTCGTAACATGCTGATCCCTCAAGCCGTTCCCTGGGTCAGAGTCTCTGGCCAAAGGTGGTTTGAAGAACGAGGCTGAGCTGGGCCAGATTTTCATACTAGAGTGCTGTTTCCCTGTGCTTTGGGTCAGGCCAGGTGCGTGGGTCAGGCCAACTTCCCTGAGAGAGATTTGGGGTTGCCCGCTGCTACCCTTTTTACCAGGTGCATTGCAGCTGTGTCCATTTGCAGAGCAACTCAAGGTGTTTTCAGGGTGTTCACTGGCTTGAATAGATCCTATAAGTCCTCAGTAATCAAAGGAGGAGAAACTTGCAGGAAGCACCAACCCACAGCATAAATTCTTGATGTGATATCTCCTGGCGTCCTTGTTTCTCTGTCTGCTGCCTCCACATGAACCTCTTCATCCCATCCTCAGTTTCCTGTACCTTCCCACTTACATCAGTTGGTGGTTGCATCCCTCATAAGAGCCGGAGACAGAATTGAATGGCCATTCTGGGGCCCTTTCTCTCTGCCTTGGAAAACTCAAATTCCCACAGCACTTACAAGAAGTTAAAGGAACGTCCAGAATTGGGTGCATTTTCCATTACCTGTAGATCCTCCTTTTTTCCTTCCTCCCAGGATAGCACAGAAGCAACCAGTCAGTTTGCTCGGGCCATATGCTGGGTAGTAGGTAACCGTCCAGGGCCAGCTAATGCCCTTCAGTGCCTTGTTTCAAGGCTTCAGGCCCCAGGGCTGGCTTCCCACGGCTGTTCTAACCCTTTCCTACTAACTCCTGCTGATGAACTGCCTGGTGGCTTACAGTTTTATTTTGCACCTAGATGCGTAAGAAGGGTTGTGTTCGAGGAACATTGGCTGCCAGCGTCTAGAGGAAGTCCTCGGTAGGGTCAGAGGCAAATAACCCCACTGTGTAAGTGACTCTGGCCTCTTCTGGTAAAGAAATGCATCCTGCCATGCAGGATTTTGACAGCGTCCATATTGTCTCATGGTAGTCCTGCCTTCTCTACTGTCTCTCCTGTGCCAGACACTGGTATTTCACTGCGGGGTAGCACCACCCACCCTAAAGCAAAGATCTAAGTTTTGCAAAGGACCGTCTTGAGTCTTGTCCCTTTCTGAAATCCAGTGGCCAGAGGTTTTGATTCAGAATGAAAAGCTGCTGAGCACCGCGCCTCCCTGGCTCACCCAAGGGAGTTTCTGAACAGAACTAGTCAGCCCAGGCCTTGGTCAGGAGGAGGAGCACCGTTTGGAAACCTCGTGGTTTAACTGGGAAAGTAACGTTGATCACTTCTTGAGGGTTTTTTTTTCCTTTCCTTGTCACGTGTGTCAAAGCACATAGTTGCAGTCTGGGCAGCTTTTCTCAGGCTGTTGAAAGACAGCCTCTTCCTAAATGAACGTGGACCTGCAAAGCCCCAGATTCTGCCCTGTCCTCCTCCTGATTCCCCCTGCTCCAGTCCCCCCAGGCTCTGTCATTTTCAGCATTGTTGGGGTTTTTTTGTTTTTTGTTTTTTGCATTCTGAATTTACTCTTTTCTGTTCAAATTGCTACCCAGGTCACTATTACAATGTTCCTTGCAGTAGGTCAATGCTGGTGATGGTTGCATTGCTTCGGGGAAAGGATGTGCCAGGAGAAATAGGCAAAATAATCTCTAATCCTTTTATTTAATCCTCTTTTTATTTGACAGCCATAATAGTGAGTGACTGACCTTTTTCCCCTCCCTAGTTGCGCAATCAAGGAGAAGTGAGAGGAACAAGTGCCGCTAATGACGAATGAAGAAAATCATCTAGTGCTTGTGGCATCCTGATCCACCCTTGGGGTGTGGGTGGGTGCACAATTCTTTACACATTTGTGCATGCATGCACACAGAAACATAGACACACATACACACTGGGTGCACACTTGTACTGAGCAGCTGCTTCAAGGCACTGAATCTCTCCCCGAGAGGCCCCTGCCTTTGTTCTGTATATCCAAAGCTAATTAAAGCCACCTAGTGTCAATTAACGGAAGAAGAGGGTGGCTGAATTATATTAATTGGAACACTTCAAGACTATGGATGCTGGACCAGTTTACTTATCTTTTATAACGTACAGGAGAGTACCTCCTTGCAAGCACTCACCTTGTCTCTGTTTAGGCTATTAGATGTGCATCAGCAATTAACTTTCCAATTTGTGTTGTTCATTCATGATTTGGAATAGGAGCTCTGAATGTATTTATAGATATTTATTTCTGGATTATCACTATCTTGAAATCAGATCAGAAACATTTCCAGTAGTAAGAATCAATGTCTTGCTATTCAGTTTTTTGGGGTTTTTTTTAAGCCCAGTTTTCATCCATTTGCTGCAAAGAGATCTATTTTACCCGAGTTTTGTATATAAAGAGTTGAGGGTTTTTTCATTAAAATTGGCAAAATAAAAAAGGCTTGCCAGTAAAAGGGAACACGGGGTGATTGATCCTTCTTTTTTAGAACTGTTCCTGAGCCTGAGTCAACTGTTCCCTAACAGCCTTAGCGCTGTTTTCAGAACACCTTTAGGTCTTCCACTATTCCAGCCTGGAAGCTCTGCATAAGCTTTATTTTGCATCAGCTATAGGAAAAAATAAATAAAATGATTATTTCTCCAGTACCCTTTAGAAACTGGCATCCTTCCACAGAGATTCCTTAGAGGAGGGAGGATCCCAGCAGCCACTGATTCCAGGCCTGAGTGGGAGGGCCCTGGGTTTGGCTTGCCCTGCGAATGTTCATACACGGGGTTGGCCTGGCAAACGCAGGGCCCTGAGGCTCCAAAGGCCAATGCACGGGCAGGGCTGCTCATCTGTCCGTTTTCTGGAAGCGAGGCTGAGCAGTCCAGTTGGAGCTATGTGTCTGAAGTCAGGAGTTCAGCTCCTAGCTCTGGCCACACAGGAACACGTGCAGGTTCCCCCTTCAGAGAATTGGCTCTGTAAATACAGTACATACGTAGTATATTTAGAGGTTGCTAATCTAGGCTGCTGCTAATTCAAGGGCTTGCTGCTTTTAGTGCAGGAATCTGCTTCCGTCAGTACCAAGGAGAACCCAGACACCAGGCTCCGGGACACTCCCATGTGTACGCCTAATTTGGGGCAGGATTAGATGTGAACATTGAGAGGAAATTTTGTAGTGAATGTAGAATGGTTATTTCTGCAGTTTCCAGTTTAACTGCATTAAGACAATTTAATTAAATTTGCTTATAAAATATCCTCACCTGTTGTGTTTGGATTCAGTTCGAGTGTGGGGAGGGAATGGCTGGTACCCGCCAGGACAAAACAGAGGCTTAGGAATAGATGAAAAACCTGCCTTCTTTTCTAGATGGCTCGGCAGCCACAACCACTCGGGGGGGGGGTAGGGTTCAGCTGGGAGCTGCAGCCCAGATGCCTCCCCGGGCGAGTGGTTCATGGTTTTTGAAGTTAAGCCCCCCCAAACAGGCAAGGGAACAGAATATTGCAAGCCCTGGAAGGTTTTTTTTTACGTTGGCCCTCTTAAGTCTTATCTGGTGTTACACTGTCATTTTCACATAATACTTTTTGAAAGTTTGCTTTTAAAAGCTGCCTTATTCTTAGCCTTGATATTCAGATTTCTGTTGCAGCGCAAAGCTTTCTCTCCTCAGCTTGTTTGATCCCAGAGGAGAGGAGGGCAACTTTCTGATGGAGTCTGTCGATGGGAAGGAGCTGGGCTCAGAGACCCTGGGCTGGCACAGATGCGTTCCCATGGGGTGTGAACAACAAAGCAAAGATACTCCCCTCTCCAATAAAAAGTTAGGTATTTTGCTGCTTTGAGGAAGGAGCCCCCACCCCATGAATGATAACATTTGGCAAACTAGCTGTTTCCACTGATTGTGAACCTATATTTGCTCACTCCCTAAAATTTACAACTTGCCTCACTCCCAAGGCTTCAGAATAGATCCTCTGCTACTGCGCTGCTGCTGTAGCAAAAGGCAACCAGCCATCTGCCCCATTTTGCAGCTGCTTACATGCAATTCATTATTTATTTAAATTTTTTCTAACCCGGTTTTCACTGATGAAAGCATGCAACTCATTAAAGCCTTTAAAAGTGATTTAAATTGAAAAAAGCATGTGCAGTAAAAAATCTCTAAAAATGCCATCTGTTTAAAACCACAGGCAATCTTAAAATTCTGTAACCCAGGACACCAATTATGAAAAAGAACAGAAGGCAGAGCAGTACAGATTTAATCAAAAGCATGAATGAATAGATACATCATCAGCTGACGCCAAAAAGTTTAAGGGCTCGACAGCTGAAAGGGGAAGAAAGGCCACACCTGCTCTTCTTGTTGGTTAGGATGCTCTCTTCGGTCACCCTTCAGGACCCCTGACCAACTCCGCACTCTCAGAAAGGTCTTGCCGATCTTAGTTGACCAAGAGGTAACGTGGGTGCTCCAACAGCCACCCAGGTCTTAAGCTGCCTAGGGGCTTGTCTGCATCTAGCCCCCCTTGTGCATGGATATCGCTCAGGGTGGCTTAGACGTTTGAAATCAGTCTTAAAAACGTAGAAAAAGGGCACGGTTAAAATCAAGTACAAGCCCAATTTTGAAACAAGATACAGCAGGAGAGTGTGTCTAACATTTGCATTTCCACGTAGGGGTTTTTTTGCAACAACATGGAAGTGGTTTGTCACTGCTTTCTTGTTGGAAAGAACAAGAAGTGTCCTTGCTGACACAGCAAATTTGGTAAGACTGGTGCCCATTTTGAACAGCTGTAGCCAACGTGCTCTTACCCAACGCTCTGATGGCGGGATCGTGCCGACTTGGCCACAGCAGGCCCACATGGCTACACAGGTTGAAGCCTGCCTCGTTTTACCTTCTATGCTGCAACACAGGCGTTGCAGGTGTGCCATTGGGGAATGCGGTTAGCACGGTCCCGCTGCGAAGGCCTGGCCCTGCCACAATCCCCATGCAATCAGCATGCTTTACAAGCTCAAGAGGCCCTGTAATGTAGTCATTTAATTTTAAAAAGTGCTGTCCGGCAGTTTACCCAGTACAAACATCACCATCCTGGAATGTCCCAGCATGCACCCCCTTTCCCCTTTCTTTCTAAAATGTTGTTAAATTGAATACTACGCATCTCCCATTCCAGCAGGTAAGGTGATGAAGATTATTAGATGGTTATGTAAAACTGTACAGGTACTTTTTATGAACATGCAGGTGTGTATTGTTTAAACCTAAGAATGTACTCATTTTTAATTTGGGAATTAATCCTGAAGCCTTTTCAAGAGAGATAAAAGGCAAAAACAAAGCAAGTAAAATTCTGCCCCATTCAACATCATCCACAGATCAAGTAGTAACGCCAAAGTTGGCTGGAGGTTGGAGTCCGTGATTCCAACTGGCTTGAATTCTCGGCAGCAGCTTGTTCCCCTGGGCTTCTCCACCAGCCAATGCGAAAGCTGAATGTCTGGTACTGAAACATCCAAACAGGAGCAAGTGCCCGTCTGATGGCCAGCTCAGCCCGCAGGCACAGCGCGAGAGCTTGTGGATTCCAGGGTCCCTCGGGAACATCCTTCCTGGCACAGGCTTTCCACGAAGAAAGAGGCATCTCACTCCCGTGGCCGGCAGGGGGTGGTGGAGGAAGAGAGACCACCACAAACTCCATGGCTGGTCCTCCTTTCTCGCTTGTGCCGCTTTGCCATGTGCCGCCTTCACCTAAGCCACAGCCCGCAAGTCCTCTTCCAGGCCTTTAATCAAACACAGCTGCTGAGGGGGTGAAAATATAGATTGTATGTTTATAAAATGGGAAGCCATTAGATTGTACATAATTTCCTTCTTGCATGTTTGCAAAGAGGCTGAGGATATGTAGTGCACATGGGGAATTACGACTGCTTCCTTTCCACCCCCTTTCCGGGGCTAAAAAGGCAGGCATGTTTGGAAACAACATGCCTGGAGGCAGCTGTTGCTGAAACCTGTGCTGCCTTTCCTGTGGATTCAAATCGGTGTCTGGGGCTGCATCTGGGCCAGAAGGTTTGGGATTCCCAAGGGGCTGGAAAAGACCCCACCATCATTCACTCTCAGGGCTCCACCTGGAACCACGGCCACGAGTTTCCTTCTGGTGGCCTCCCACCTGTTTTCCGACTCTTTGGCAGGGCTTTTAGGGACCAGTCAGAGAAGGAAAAATGTCAAGAACAAGAGGTCTTCCCTGGTTTATGCTGATGAGTCTAAGTACTGATAACCTTTGCATTTGTCAGCTTTGCGGGGAGCCATTTGAAAACTGCCATTTGAAGAGTCACCAAATGTGTCAAGAACAAGTTTGCAGAGAACCGCTGAGCCAAGAGCAAGAGAAGATGCAAAAGGCTCCAGGGCAGGCAAATAACTGTTTGGCTCTTTAGTTTATGTTTACTGTAAAGCAGAGTCAACTACAGTACCCTAATCGTCAGTCAGGTGGGGAGAAACGTTAAAAGAAAGTTTGCACTTGTTGCTGCTGTATCTCCCCCGTGATGCCTGCAGGGGGCAGAATCTTGTTTAGAACCAGCAACGAGGAGCCTGTATCTGCTGAACTACATTTCCCAGCATCCCTGCTGGCTGTGCTTGCTGGGACCATTGGGATTTGTAGTTCAGCAGCATCTGGAGAGCCTCCACTCCTATCACTGCCTAAAAGCCTACATTGTGCAAAGCTACAGAAATGCCTACTGCAAAGCATGTAACACAACCTTGGCAACTCTAATGCACTGATCTCCCCCGCCACTCACCCATCCCGGCACTTCCATTCTGTCAACGTTCAGAGTCAGACTCCTGGTCAAGCAAGCACTTACTGGCACCTCCTCCTGTAATGGGACACCAAAAGCATTTCAGGCAACCTGACAGCAGCGGCCATCAAGGCTCAGATTCCTCATCTGCCTGCAGCCCCTGCCATTGCCCTCCAAGACTAACTCAATCCAGATGTAAAAGTAACCATTCAGCTGCAATCCAGTAGACGTTTACCTGGGAGTAAGTGCTACTGTTAATGGAAACGTACATGTTCAAGGTTTCTGTAACTGGCTCACAGACAAGGTGTTACACTAAGGCTGGGGAATCCCAGGTTCAAACCTTTACTGAGCCATGACAATCCCTTGGGGGCAGGGGGGCCCCCGGAAATTAGCAACCAGAATCTTATAGCCTAACCTACCTCACAAGGCTGTTGTGAGGATGTAATGGGGGAAGGGAGAACAAGTCTGGGGAAAGACATGGTATGCATGCAATAAATACCTTAAAGACACGACTATTCACCTCAAAATAAGTTTTCAAACTTCTGGGCTTCTAAACAAGCCAGAAGACAGAGCTCAGTCAACGTAGGACAGAAGCCAGTACAGTCAAAACTCACTGAAGCTCATGATGGAGTCGACCATTTTGTCCAGAACCGACCCGCGAGCTTGCCTTGACCGGGCTGCTGCCCTTCTTGTTATGCCTGGCCTTTGGGGCCACGCAAAGCCAGCTCTGTGGCAACGAGGCTTCCACCTCGAAGCAGCCTTCTTGTCGTGACCATCGGTGGGGACAAGGAACATGACAGCTCTGCCCCAGCTTTTCAATGGCTGCACAAGCCCTTGGTGAGTCAGTGCAACCACCGCCAAGATGAGTTTTTTTTAATTCCACTTTCCAATGCCAGAGACTAACTCCACTGACCGCAGAAAGATGAATCGTGAAAACTGCTCTCTCAACTGTTTCAAAAACGCCATCCAAATCTTGCAGGGCTGAAGCCTTGGCTTCTTCAAAGACATGTGCTGGCAAAGACATGCTTCTGAGCATGGCTCAGAAAGGGCTTCTTCATGGCAAGCAAAGGTAAGACACATTTTTCTTTGATGGAATCATGCAACAGTCTCCCATTCTTGTTCCTAACTGAAGGGGCTCAGCTTTCTTGTGCTTATGTTGTGCAATTTGCATATCAGTATTTCTAGTTCAATTCTCAGTAGAAGGGATCCATAGAGCTGAGGGGAGAGAAAATAATTCTGAATAGGCTTGCTGAATAATAATGAACCAAGCTGAACCCTTGCATTTCCTTGTTCATTGGGTGCTGTTTGTGATGTTTCATGTATGTTGCATCCATTTTGTTTAAAGGGTGCAGCAACTTTTCTCTCTCCATGAGTGGAACTGGCCTCCTTCTGCAGGTTGTCCATGCCTCAAGTTACAGAAACCCTCCTCCAGGAATTAATGGATGGGGCAACAGAAGTCCCAATGCAATTTTTCTTTAATGAAGCCAGTGATACTTATACTTTTGAGA